CCTACTTCTTATGCAATGTACTATTTTTGAGCTATGCCGCATTTTAGAGACAAGCTATATTCAGCACGTATTTGGTAAACACTTGATTTTCCCAACAGTAACTTTGTATAGACTGGAATAAATACAAAGTAAAAAGATTCTTGTTTTATCTATTTTCTAAACCATTTCATATATATTGATGAGGAGGAGAATGGAAAAGAAACAAAGATGTCATACATATTTCAATGGAATGTGCTTCAGTGAGTTGCACAAAGGAGCAAAGATGCCTGTGAGTAGGAGGAAGATATGGGAACCATGGGACAGGAACACAGATCCAGTTGCCTGACCTTCCAGTGGATCTTGTGGGATCCAAACCCCCTGCCCATTCTTTATGGGAGCATAAGGGGTGTGGAAAACTCTTTCAGGGGACCTGATGGAGTATTCCTCCTTTTCTGGTCCATCTCCAGGTTTTTATATGGCAGGATGAGATCCAGCCATTGGTAATTAAAGACCAAAGGATTCAAGCCTGTTATTTTTTTTTTTTTTTTTCAGCTTCAGCTTTTCAGTGAGAAGAGCAAACAGCCCATTGTTGCTAAATCATAGTTTTGTGTTCAGTGTCCTTCCACAAAGCCTAAAAAACCCTTATGCTGTGTTTGTACAGACTAATGGCCAATTTTGCGGCTTTCAGAAACTGGATGTACACTCCAGTAATGTGGCTAAAGACAAATGATTCTGGGCAAAACCTATCATTAAAACTTCATTTTATCTAAAAAAAAAAAAAAATGAAAATAATCCTGAGTTAGTATTTTAATCCATTTTAACTGTTAAATACTACCAACCAGAACAAGTTGTTTTTCACACAAAATTGAACCTTTCAAATGTAATTTGTAAAGGACTATGTAACTCTTCTAATAGGCAGAGCAAAAATTATGATCCTAAGTATTTCTACCTAGCTTTCCGTGTAGCTGTAGAGTAGGAATCAATATGCCTCTACATGCTTTGTATAAACTGTTGCACGCAAAAGAGCTTTTACCCTTAAAAAAAGGTCCTAGTTCTCACATATTCCACCAGCAAGTAATACAAGCTGCAAATCCAAGATCCATATTGACAAATAACACCACATATGTATTGTTTTGAATACAACAGATTTAGTTGTGTTCCACTGCATTGCAGTTAGCTGTTGTACTGCTAACAGGTTAATACACTACAAAGCTAAATACTTCATTAGGAAATAGTATCAGAGATTTACAAGACAAACCCAATAATTAACCAAATCCAATAACATACCCTACTCCTCCATCAGTGTTCTTGGCAGGGAAAGACTTGTACCAATGGCCAAACCCAGATGCAAAGCAGGCAAGTGCTCTGCAAGCTTCTCCTATCAAAGTCTGGTGACATTCCTTAATCCTGACTCAGACCACCCTATCGTATTATAATCCTAAACCCAATACAGTTCAGTCCTGACTGCAACAGCCATACGGCTTTGTCAATGTCTTTCAACTATGACTTGTAGCAACTCATTCTGTTCCAGTCCTGGGACTCTGACACAGCTTAGCTAATGGGCCTGATCCTGGACAATAAAAGTAAGTATGAGATAAAATAAGCTAAGGCCTGAATGGGGATACCTACTGGATAGCAACAGAAGTGACAAACAGAGAAGCTAATACCAAAAATCTGAAGAGAAACCAAAGGAGACAAGAACACATCCTTGATAAAAACAGTTTAATAAACTCTTGAAAATGACAGTGATATGCAGAATATTTTAAAACCTAGAATGAGAAAATGAGTTTTGAAAATTAGGAAGTCTTTGTAAAAACATCTATTGATAAATAGCAGGTATGGGGGGATACTTGTAAATTTACAATGTGAAGTTAGCAAATTCAGATTACATGTTTTATAAACTGTTAAAGGATGAACATAAACATTATTTTGTCAATATTTTTTTAATAAATCATGAAGTGGAGAAGTACCGGAAGACTGGAATACAACAAACTCATTACCAGTCTTCAAAACAAGAAGGAAAAGAGATCCCCCAATTACCCTCCTGTAAGTCCTTAGTGAAATAATAAAAGATATATTTTCATTAAAAAAAAAATCTCTAAACATCTGAAAGGTAACAGTCATGAGACATAAACAGCACTGGGAGATTATAAAATATAAATCTTGCCAGACAACTGTGATTGCTCTTTTCTGACAGAATTGCAAAAATTAATGGTTGAAGGGATCAGATATGATGTAATATATTTGGATTTTAGTAAAGAATTTGAGACTGTGCCTCGTAAAATCTTAATAGAAAAATAATTGGAATCAGTTTGGATATTTTAATCATGAAGACTGAAAACTGACAGAACTATAAACACAGGAAAATAATAAATGGTCATGTATGAAGTATGAAGCAGATATCTAGTGATTCTACCAGGACGAGTGCCAGGTCTCATTTTGTTTAACATTTTCACTGATGATCTGGAAGACGGAGAAACCAGCATGTTACTAAAAGTCACAGATATATTGGGAGAGCTGCAAATACAATACAGGCAGACAAAGGAACTTACTACTTTCTTCATGGCCACATCATAAGCAAAATCATGGCCGTAGCCTATTAACCTATTCTGAGTGACAAATGGTTTTTCAAACCAAAATGCTTTCTACCAAATCCAGATCCCAGCACAACTTGTGGCAAAGAGCTCTCTTTATATTTTGCAGTAACGATTGTCCAGATCAGAGGTGGTGTTGTCTTCTCCAAACAACCCTACATCAAAGAGATACAAGGGAGATTGAGAGAAAGCTGGATTTTTCTTTTTTTGCAAACCCAGTGACTTCTTTTGGTTTTTTTACGTGGTTTGAATTTCTGTGTTGCTCTAAAGTATTTACATGGACATAATATGCATGTCCGTTTTTTTAATTCAACAGCATTATGTTCAAATTTCAATCTGTAAATGGCTATTTTAACTATTCTAATGGCTAAAAGGGAAGTGATGACACATCAAGGTTGTACTTGTGCCTTTTAGGAAACATTACCATATGGCACAGCCCAGAAAGGGGGTGGAAATAAGTGGTTATTAGTGCCTGGACAAAAGGGCATGGCTAATGACATTTTGGAGGTACTTGATTGGTTACAGACTGATGCCATTATTATTATTTATGTTGCTCTAAAATCTAGAGGCCCGCATTCCCTGAAAATTAGGCCTGATATAAATGACAAACTGAAACCACACAAGGATAAATATGTGAAACACTTAGAGACGGTATGGATCCTTTCTATTACTTAACCAAGATAACTGATCCTCCACCGATGTCATAGGCTGAGCCCAGAACACAGAGGCCAAAACATGGCTGACGGAAGCAATCCCAAGCTCCTTCCTGCTCTTCTAACATTGAAAACTGACAGAATTCTACCCAAAACCTGTCTAGGACGTTGTGTCACACACAGTTTATTACACTGAGAAGATAAAATCACAGGGCAGGAAAGGCCCTCACGCTGTCATTTAGCATGTCCCCTCTTGCTGAGGCAGGATTAAGTATACCCAGACCATTTCTAACACGTTTGTGTAACCCGAACTTAAAAATCTCCAAGACTGTAACCTGTTCCAGTGCTTAGCTCGCCTTATAGTTAGAAACCTTTTCCTTACATTGAAAATAAATCCCACTTGCTGCAAATTACGCCAACTACTTCTTGTCCTCCCTCTTTCTAACCCCCTTGACATATTTGAAGACTGCCATGATGTCCCCCTCCGCCTGCTCTACACATGCCTAATTCTTTTAGCCTTCCCTTGCAGACCAGGCTTTCCAAACCTCTTATTTGTGTCGCTCTCCTTTGGACTGTCTCCAATCTGACCCCATCGTTATTAACGTGCAGCCCCCACACCCGGGCGGACTAGCCCAGCGGAGGCTTGGCGGTGCCGGCTGCGGGGAGAACTGCTCCGCAAGGACTCGCCTGTTAACGCTGCTCCCCCACCCCACGGGGACACTGGCCTTTGGGCAACATCCCGCCTTGGTCACTCGCGGTCACTGGGCGGCGCGGCGCGCTCTGACCCCGCCTCTCTGCGCCCGCCCGCCCGCCCGCCCGCTCACTGACCCCAGCCCGGGGCTCCGTTTGCCTCGGCCCGGGGGCGCTCGGATCCGGGCAGGCCCAGCGCGGCCGGGAGCTGCTCGCCGGACGGGTGCGGCCGGGGCCGGGGCCGGTTCCCACCCACCGGCCTGTCAGGGACTTGGTCTGACGCGGGCACGTACCGCCCGGGCCCCAAGGCCTGACTCGGGCCGCCGGGCCTGTCGCCCTCCCGCCGAGCCTGAGGCGGGCCGAGCCCCGCAGAGCCTGAGGCGGGCGGGCGTTGGGCTCCCCACAGGCCGCGCGCGGCTGCACCGGCCAAGCCCCGCCCTGTTAGCGCCGCCCCCCGCCCATCTGGAGCCCGCGCGCGGCCGGGGGGGGGAGTGAGCCAGAGGGGGCGGGGCCGGGAAGCGGGAGGACGCAGGAGGCGGAGCCATGGTCGGGGCGCGCTCTCAGCTCGGGTGGGGGCGGGGCTGCGCAGGCCCAGTAGATGCGGAACTCGGCGCGCCGGGTGGCGCGCGGGGCGCTGGCTGCAGGGCTCCGGCAGGCGGCGCTGCTGAGAGGAGCGAGGCGGTTCCCTCCCCTCCCCTCCCGGGCTGCGCGGAGGGGGGGCGCTCTAGGGGTGAGGGGGTGCCTGGGGGTGGGGTGCTCTAGGGGTGAGGGGGTGCCTGGGGCTCTCTCAGAGGAAGGGGTGTATGGGGCGACGGGGTGCATGGGGGTGGGGTGCTCTAGGGGTGAGGGGGTGGCACTCTTAGAGGGAGGGGTGCACGAGGTGAGGAGGGGTGCTCTTGGGGTGAGGGGATGCACGGGGTGGGCACTGAGGGAGGGGTGCATGGGG